ATATCCAGCCAACAGCGTCCTGTGGGCAGCGTCCTGTGACCACTGATGAAGGACTAGAGGATGACCAACACAAACTGTGCAGCAGCAGATGAGCTATTGTCTCTGACTTTACATCTACAAGGTGGACTGACGAGGTTGGAGTGTGTGTGTGTGTATATATATGTATATATAAATGAATGATTTCTCAGTACTGTGTATATATTTATTCTCAAATTTCATGACCTTCCATCCTCCTGCTTTTCTGTCCGTAGTCATGAGCTGGTATTTATATATGTTTGAGCAGCTTTTCTATGAAAATGCACATTGCATATAAATCAGCGTGTGCAGTATGGGGGTTTCTGTTGGTGGGGCTGGAGGGGGATCAGCGGGAGGGAGAATAATAACATCACGCTGAGCCGGCACAAAAACCACCGCGTTAAAGCCCCTATCAATCAAACGCCTCTTTGGCTGCTTTGTTTGCTGAAACTATATGGTGTTAAGGGAGAGTTATAAAACGCCTTTGAATGACATTTCCTCTGCCGTCACTGTAACTGGGATAATTTCTCACTGCTTTGGGCAGCAGCACAAAAGAGGCTTCACTGGGACAGCGTGTGTTTATTTCATCATAAAAAAAAAGACTGAGATGAAAAATAGCGACAGGATTCGTTTGCTTTATAAAGACGCAGCTTTGCTAAGGGTGGAGGATACGGCAGACATATAGCCTCACAATACATGCAGGCATTTTCACAATATGTAGCAGGATGCTTTGTTTTTCTGTTCTCTGGAACAAAATCTGACTTTTTACTTTAATCTCATTGCAGTTTTCCTGTTCCACCTTAAATGGTGCAGTAGTTAGGTTCTGGCGCCTGAGCCTCTTTATTCCAATTTTCCTTAGCAACCACCTGGGACACCATAGCAAAGCCCTAGCAATACCTTAGCAACCACCTGGAACAACATAGCAAAGGTCTAGCAATACCTTAGCAACCACTTGGAACAACATGGCAAAGGCCTAGCCATACCTTAGCAACCACCTGAGACTCCATAGCAAAGGCCTAGCAATACCTTAGCGCACACACACACACACACACACACACACACACACACACACCACGTATCCAAACACACGCATGAAACACTAACACACACTCATACACTAACACACAAACACAGTGTGAGGATGCTGCTGGTGGGAAATAGGGAGGTCATGCTGAGATCCATCTGCTTTCAGAGACAGAGAGGGTGAGAGAGAGGAAGAGAAAGAGAAAGAGAGGGAGGAAGGAAGAGTGTGTGTGTGTGTGTGTGCGTGAGAGAGAGAGAGAGAGAGACAGAGAAAAAGAGAGTGAGGGAGACTAGAGAGAGAGAGAGAGAGGGAGACTAGAGAGAGAGAGAGAGGGAGACTAGAGAGAGAGAGAGAGAGGGAGACTAGACTGAGAGAGAATGAGGGAGACTAGAGAGAGAGAGAGGGAGACTAGAGAGAGAGAGGGAGACTAGAGAGAGAGAGAGGGAGACTAGAGAGAGATGGTTCTTTGCGTGGAGAAAGGTTCTCCAGATTGGTGGAGAATGTTCTGTATATGGTTTTCGGCTTTTGCTGAGCTTTTCCTTTAATTCAGAAACATTTGAGCCAATTGTGAGAGACTGTAAGGTCACATGATGAAGTGGGCGGAGCCAGAGCTAAAAATTACAGAATAAGTGGTGGATTATAATGAACACTGTCTCTCTCTCTCTTCCCACCTTACTGTCCCTCTCTTTCTCTCACTCCGTTCTCTCCCCCTTCTATTTATGTATATCTCCCTCTCTCTTTTCTCTTTCTCTACTCTCTCTTTATCTCTGTCTATTGTCCTTCACTCTCTCTCTATTCTCCCTCACTCTCTCTCTTGCTCTTTCCTCTCTCTCTACTCTTATCGTCTGTCTTCTCCCTCACTCTCTCTCTCTCTCTCTCTCTCTCTCTCTCGCTCTCGCTCGCTCGCTCGCGGCTCTGTTCTCTCTTTCTCTCCCCCTCTCTCTATATTTCTCCCTCTCTTTTCTCTCTTTCTCTACTCTCGTCATCTCTCTTCTATCTCTCCAATTCCCCCTTACACTCTCTCTCTCCCTCTCTCTCTCTCTCTCTCCCTTTCTCCCACTCTATTCTCTCTCCCCCTATAATTCTCCCTCTTCCTCTCTCTCTCTGCTCTCTTCATCTCCTCTTTCCATTCTCTCTCTCTCTCTCTCTCTCTCTCTCTCTCTCTCTCTCTCTCTCTCTCTCTCTCTGTAATTGTTATGTATGTGTGGCTGCTGCTCTCCTGTTCCAGATACAGTCATCACAATTTCTAGAAAATCATAAAAAGGTCTGTTTTCCGTGCCGGAGGATGAGGAGCTCTCCGCGCGGAGCTCAGCGTCAGCAGAGAGGGAAATATAAGATGTCGTTGGCATAAACGTTCTGCGTGTTCCACCCGGAGTTGCATATTAAGTCAGAAAGCTGTCGGTACATTTTATTACAGCACAGCAACATACAGCGTATAGAACCCCTTACAGTACACACTTAAAACAGATGGTTCTGCAGGGGTTCTTTAGTAAAGACAGTCACTCTGTTTAAAACCATGAACACTCAAAGAACCATCTGCATGCTTAAATGGTTCTCTGCATGGTGAAATGGCTCTTCAGAAAGATGGAGAATGTGTTGTATATGGTTCTATACAGCACCAAAAAGGGCTCTGCTACTGTACACAAGCTTGTCATCATTACAATAGCAGAACCCTTGTTGATGCTGTATAGAACCATAAATAACACATTCACAATCAATCTGAAGAACTATTTTACCACGTAAAGGGTTCCTTGAGTGTTCGTGGTCAGATCTAGAACCGTTTTCTTTACGAAAGAACCCTTGAAGAATCGTTTTTAAGCGTGTAGGTAAGAACCGAATCTACACACTCTAGAGAACCAAAGTGTGAGCAGTTCTGCAGTTTAAGAACACGTCATGAATCTGATGTAGACTTTTCTTAGAACATTTCTCGCCCCAAAATATCCAGCGTTACATTTTCAGTTCAAAAGAAAATCAAATCTTATTTTTCCTCTCAAAAAATTCCACAAACCCCATGATTATGTATTTATATGGCCCAAATTAGTATAAATGTATAAATACACTGATGAAATATTAGATCAGCTGACCCTGAGTGACCGCTTAGACCATTTAAAGCAAGAAACCTTGTCCTGCTGTCACTCCAGTTCAGTGTGAGTCAAAGTCTGTTCAGTGTATGGTGAAGAAAAAAGCACCGATCTTTTGTGTGGATGCTTTTCTGAACAAGACTGGAGAGGAGAAAACCTTTGTAGATCAGTTCTCGTGTTAAATATTGATTTTTAACCCAGGAAAACTGCATCCAGAGAGACTACAGTTCCTCCACGGTGACGGAAACCCGATAAATCATTCATGCACACTGTTATTAGTCTGTATTCAGATGTTGCGCGAGATGAGCTCAAGTACAAAACAGATATTCAGCGCCGCTGATCCATTTCTGGCCGTATTTTGACCTCTCTGTCCGTACAAAGCGAGAGATGTTATTGATTTGCTCTCTTTTTGTATAATTTTTTTTTCTTTTTTCATTCGCAGAACGCAACAAGTATTATTAAAACGCTGAACATTTTCATCTCATAAATGTCAGCACAGACTTTCTAATCACGCTTTATGAGATGTAACCTTTGCCTGAGCCTTATAATCCTCCATCATATTACAGCAGCGGCCTGTGGCATCCGGAGCGCTCGGCGTTTCTACAGGAACAGGAGAACACAGACTCACAACACAGCACCAGCTACATAACAGACTCACCGGCCACTTTATCAGAAACCCTCTTTTTTAGCTACAGTGAGTGGAAGCACAAGGTAGATGTTTCCAATAAAGTTGCCAGTGAGTAAAAGCACAAGGTAGATGTTTCCAATAAAGTTGCCAGTGAGTAAAAGCACAAGGTGATTCCAATAAAGTGGCCATTTACTGGTAGCACAAGGTGGGTGTTTCCAATAAAGTGGCCAGTTACTGGTAGCACAAGGTGGGTGTTTCCAGTAAAATGGCCAGTTAGTGGAAGCACAAGGTCTTTCCAATAAAGTGGCCAGTCAGTGGAAGCACAGCGTTGGTGTTTCTAATAAAGTGGCCAGTTAGCCGGAAGCACAAGGTGGGTGTTGCTAATTAAATGGCCAGTTAGTAGAAGCACAAGGTAGGTGTTTCTAATAAAGTGGCCAGTTGGTGGAAGCAAAAGGTTGGTGTTTCTAATAAAGTGGCCAATGAGTGGAAGCAAAGGGTTGGTATTTGTGTTAAAGTGGCCGTTGCAGCATTACAGCCTCTTGCGTGGCTGTTGATGAGAGGGCCAGCCGTGTATTTGGGTTAGTTCTGGGCCGAGATAAATAACCTTCATTTAATATGAATGTGTTCCGGACTCCTTCGCACCGGTGCTCTATTTTATCTCATTAAATAGGTCGTCGAAAAAACAGCAATGTGGAATCGGATTCCGATCCATGGTCAAGAGATGCGGTTGCCATAGCGCTGTTCTGAGGAAACCTAATCAATAGAAGCAGAGCGGCTGTATGTGTTCAGTGATTACTCTGTCCAGAGGAAAACCACGTTTGACCCACACCCTTAATAATTAGAGACTGATAGAAAAATAGAGATAAATAAGGTCTTTTTGTTCCTTAGAATTAAACAGGCTGTGTTTCTTACTTCGTCTTTCAGACTGATATACGTGAATGTTGTGATTGGCTGCCCTGTATTCTGCTCCATTCAGAAAACATTTGGACTGAAACACTCCTTATAGTGTCAGTGTGAGTGACTAAACTGCTGTAGGCTCAATGGGCGGGGCTAAGGTGCTGTAGGCTCAATGGGTGGGGCTAAGGTGCTGTAGGCTCAATGGGTGGGGCTAAAGTGCTGTAGGCTGAATGGGCGGGGCTAAAGTGCTGTAGGCTCAATGGGCGGGGCTAAACTGCTGTAGGTTCTTTAAAGAACCATTCATTATGAGACTGAATGCATGAATGAAGAGCTGCTGCCTCTCTCTCTGTTGCAGATGTAGGCAGATGTCGTATCCTGACGACTTGCCCCAGATTTCTGTGGTTTTCATCTTTGTGAACGAAGCCCTGTCCGTCATCCTGCGCTCCGTCCACAGCGTGGTCAACCACACCCCCGCCCACCTGCTCAAGGAGATCATACTGGTGGACGACAACAGCGACAGCGGTAAGATTTTTAATTACTCTGCCCTCAGTGGAGAACCCTCAGAGCCTTCTAGGCCTTCCGAGAAGGTCTAATGAGTCCTGGGAGCTAAAAAATAAAACTACATGTCTGTAATTTTTAGTTCATTTTTATTTAATAGAATCATCATGGTTGCCATATTTAATCTCTAAGTATTGTAATAATGCTCTTAAGTTTTGGTTTGAACAAAAGGGTTGAAATCTTCAAACCCCCAATAGAACAACAATCCAATCAGGATTGTTTTCTCTGTGGTATCTAGGCAGATACACCCAAGCGAGCCCTCCTATTGGTTGGGAGTTCAGGTGCTGGACTGAAGGCCTTACACATTAGATTAACTACAAACATAATCAGGAACTGACAGAAGAGTCAACCAATTACGTTCTGTGACCAAAAGAAAAACATATTTTGGAAGTTCTGTATCCGTCACTGGCTGTGAATAGTTGTACCCTAAGCAGTGTTCCGGTTAGTTGTTAGGAATGTAAAACAGCGGCAGCAGCTCTGAAGGACTCATTGCTGAAAGAGTTGCTGTAACACTGAGACATACAAGATCAGATATATGATGGTGTCTTACAAGCTTCAGATAAAACAAATGGAATGACTTTCATGTATTCAATTTAGAACTAGCTAAACATGCTAGATTAGAGCCAACACACTATTATAAACATACTATCAGAAGTTAGCATTACTGTAGAGGTATTTGACCTAGTTTTTACATTTTACAAAATGTATTATTATTATTATTATTATTATTATTATTACTACTACTACCTAGGCTTGTTGTATAATGTACTGTTTTGTGTAGAGTTTTCTAAGCTTGTTATTGATTTGTTTATTCAGAGTAATGACAGCGTCACTGACGTGACATTTCTGTTTGTTTTTTTTCTTTTTCAAAAATATTAGTGAGATAAATATTAAAATCTCAATTCTAATTATTAAAATCTCTAATTTTTCAGATTTTTTAGATCACGCTCTTTACACATTAACTCAAACGCACAGCAGCATTGAAAAAACTAGGTGGTTGCTATGGTGTCACTAGGCTTCTACTATGGCATTCTAGGGTTGCTAAGGTGTTACTAGGCCATTGCTGTGGTATACTAGGTGGCTGCTAAGGTGTTGCTAGGCCGTCGCTTTGGTATTCCAGGCTGGTTGCTAAGGTGTTGGTAGGCTGCTGCTATGGTATCCCAGGTGGTTGCTAAAATGTGTGTGTGTGTGTAATTATTTTTATATGTGAATGTGTGTGTGTGTGTATATATATATATATATATATGAAAGCAATGTCACTTGAGGCCGTGGCTTACTGTGAAGGGATGCGAAGCGGAGTAAAACTCTGTTCCCTGTGATAAAATCACTGTAACCCTCTGCCTCGAGTGGCTTATCGCTTTTATAAAATGGCGGCCAACATAAAATATATTAAAATGCACACTGTTTTAGATAATTAAGCTATTATTAATAATAACTGACATAAACAAGTATTCCGCCAAGAAAGGTATTTCCTTTACAGTACGGTATTGTTGCTGGGCAGCCATTGACCACTGAATGAGGAGAAGAATGTTCAGTCACTAATCACTGTAAACTGCAGACATTTCATGATTTTTAAATCTTTTTTTGTATAACAGTGAACATATGATTCGGACATTTGAAGTGTGTGAGACATTCAGGTGACGTTCTTTAGACCTTATACTGCAGTTTTTCAGTGAATCATGTTGTCAGTACTTTAATTCAAGCCTGTGATATTAATGATGGAGCTGTTTAGCATGTTTTCTATCTTTTAGCCTGTTAGCTAGCTGACCAGCCTAGTTCTAGATAAGAAAATAAGTTTTCAGCCCCTCAGTTTAAACAGACACTCGGTGCTCCATGTGATCAGCGTTAGAGTCAAAGATTAATCTATTAACAGCTGAAGGGTTTTTCGTGCCGTGGCGCAGTGATACAGAGTTCAGTCACTGTGAGGCGTCACAGCCGTGGTATACCGTGGATTTTACAACGGCTTCAAATGCAGTCAGCCAATCAGATTTTAGGACCGGAACTATCCGTTTTATAAATGTGTGTATATATAACCTGTGTGTGTAGTTTGTGAATGCTGGTGTCTTTTATGCGTGTCCTACTTTCCTTTTATAATTTTCCTTTCTATGTTTTATCAAGGTTAGCAGTCAGATCAGACATGTAGCACCGACTCAGGGCCGTGAATGTGCTTTAATGCGCTTTTCTCCCGAGCCTTTCCTGTAATGAATGCAGATAAATGCAGTGTAAGTATCACAAATACAGGATTAGTGTCCCTCAGGCGCGTTATTGCTACATTACAAACCCTTGCTAAGCATTTAACTACTTCGATTTTCTTAGCTTAGTCATTTGCTCGTGCATTAGCGTCCAATATCTGCTGCTATAGAAAGCGCACCGTTGTCTTTATCCCCGGGCTTTAGATGAAGGCTGAATTTATTTATTCATTTATTTATTTATTTTCATTTGTGAATGCTGCATCTGCAAAAAGGAAAATATTCCAAAAAGAAAGGGCAGCAGAAAGAAAACCCAGACGCAGAGCAGAAGAGAGAGAGCAAAACTCGAGGGTCGAAAGTCTCCAGTGCAGTAATGCACTCTAAAAAAAGCCAAAGGCAGAAAAACAGCACAGAAAAACTCAGCGTGATCTTTTGTCCTCCACTGAACCATCGCAGGCGCTCTGGTCTCTGTGGTGCTTTAGCTGTTGCTGTGCACACCTGCACTGCTCACCGTGGCAACCAGTCGCATCCTAAAACCCTCACAGATCCAAACAAGCCACCGTTTCCATTATTTTGGACCTGTAATGAGGACCAAAACATGTTGTGGAACCAAACTAAAACTTATACATATTTAATGTGCTCATTTAAATCTGGCCTAAAACTGACCGCCTGGTCATTTCTTTTCATTAGAGACTTAACTAACTTAATGCTTAACTGACTTATGACTCGACTCGCACCTGAACCGGGCGCTTAACTGACTCAATTCAGATTCATGCTTGACTGACTCATAACTCGCACGTGTACGTAACTGACTCATGATTTGACTGGCACTTGTCTCATGACTCTACTCAGACTCACGCATAACTGACTCTCAATCTGGACTCACGCTTAACTAATTCATGACTCATCTTGGACTCACACTTTACTGCCTCACAACTCGGACATGTATGTTACTGACTCATGATTCGACTCAGAATCCTGCTTAACTGACCTGCGACTTAACTTGGATGCGCGCTTAAGTGACTCATGACTAAATTAGGACTCATGACTCGGATGTGTAATTAACTGACTCATGACTTAGACTGCTGCTTAACAGACTCGCAACTTGACTCAGAATCTGACTCACGATTCAACACGGACTCATACATAACTGACTTGTGACTTGATTTGGAAGTGCACTCAACTGACCCACAACTCGGACGCGTATGCTGCTGCTTATTTCCGCTACCGCCATCTGTTTTCGGGCATGCACAGACTGAAAAATCCGAAAGAAATCAGAGTCAGAGTTCACATGCACTGAAAAATCTGATTACTGAGCTAAAATCCAGCGTCTTTATAGGATTTCTTAATCAGATTTCTAGACCTTAGTCTGATCTAAGACATCAGAGTGTGCTGTTTACACGACCATTTGAATAATCAGATAACTGCAGAAATCAGATTATGATCAGATTATTGAGTGCATGTAAACACACCCAGTGTGTTGAACTAACCCCCCCGTGTGGAGGCTGTACTTTAGCCTGTCTGTCTCTCCCTGTGAGCTGTTTATCTGCTTCTACACGCTGCTGTACACTCACCAAGGTGAGATTACAATAATGTAGGAGTGAATTCTGTGCAGCTCACCAATCATAACTCTTATGATGAAAACACTTGTATGGTATAAAACAGTGTGTGTGGCTGTTTGGGTGACACTACGGGTGTGTCTCAAAACCTAGTGAGCTCTCTAAGTAGCCGCTGTCCACCTAGGCAGCTGTCTACGTAGGCAGCGTTCCAACCGTCGTCTGTCCTTATAAGACAGATAAATGAGACGCTCTAGTTAGACAGCAAAGACGTCGCCGCTTGTTCCCGCCCACTGCACGAGACCGGCGCTTACTGACCTCAGCCGTCAGAATCACAGTTAGCCAACATGGATCTGCTCTGGCAGTTAATATAGCGATTTTAATTGTATTTGCTCTGAATGAAACAGCAAAATAGACAATAGTTGTGGTCAAACGTGGAAAGTATCGGCTATTTGTGCACCTTTGTGACTAGAAAAAGATAAATAAACAGAAAATCAGAATAACTTACATTTGAAGATGACGTCGCTGCTTGGTGAAGCGCTTCTGCCATCTTCAGACAAAAGTTGCGCCGCGCTGCATTGCGGGATTGCCTCAGCGGCTGAGGAAACATCCGATGCTCTCTTGATATTGGGCCAAAATGAGAGACCTCAGTAGGCAGCATATTTGAGATATCTAAGAATTGGGACAGCCGTCTTGTCGGGAGCGCATATTGTGACGCTGCAGGGCTCTCTGGACTGGGGACCTGATTGACGTGACATCACAGCCTGGGCCGGCCGCTTGGTTGACGCTGCACTGCAGCTGTGGGGCTGCCTGTACCGGCAGCGTTGGGCTGCATGAGCAGCGCTACGCCGCAGCTACGAGGCCTCTCGGGCCGGCCGCTTGGGTTACGCTGCATTGCAGCTATGAGGCTGCCTGGACTGGTGGTGTTCGGCTGCAGGAAGATGCTACCCCTTCGTGGCAACGGACATGTTCGGCTTTCGAGGCTTCCCGGGCCGCCTCCTGTGTGATGCACGGTAGTTGCGGTGTGAGACTTTCCCACAGCTAAGGACTCTTTCTGGGCTGGCTAAGTGACTCTATACTGTGGTCAGTGAAATCCCCTCCGCTAGCTGTGGGAACCGTGGAGAGTGTGTGTGTGTGTGTGTGTGTGTGTGTGTGTGTGTGTGTGTGTGCTCTGTGTTATGTATTGTTGATTATGTAGTGATTGTAAAGCATCCTTGAG